TAGGTTCTTGTTGCACTCCAATGATCTATTCTTTATCTCCTCTAAGTATTACACTTGTTTTTCATTTTCTCCACCTTGTTCCTCTAAAACAAATATTCCATATGCATCTCAACCCTGCTCTGTCCTGCCTAAACAGAAGCATCTATCTCTGTGTGGACAAGGCTTAAAGACTCTTGAGCATATTATATCACTATCATATCCTACCTATCAAACCATCAGGCTCCAGGCAGTGTTAAAATAGAACAGAAGTTGCACCGCGCTGTGCAATCTGCTGATGACAGCTGCAAGTTGCTTTAATAATCTAGGATGAATGAGACTGCAGGAATGACACAGGAATCAAAGCTCTAATCCTCCACGAGAACAATATTAGCAAAAGTTGTGACCTGTAGTTCTGAGTTCATATTCAGCTGGTTGAATAGTAGTAGAAGCTATTGTAGTCTTCACAAAATGACAGATTCAAATGTCCATTCACTTTTTAATAAAATTATATTAAATGCTTCAGAAACCATTTAATGTGATCTCATCTGATATTATACATATATACAAGAATTATACAGTCCTACAAATTACATCCATATCTCCATATTCATTTCATGTTTCTATGAGTTTATTATTAGATATTATAATATTTTATGTCCAGTTCAGCGTTAGGTGAATGAGGCGTAGGCAGAGGAGAGGTGGTTCAGTTCCTCTATTGATATAGCTTTGTGTGTTTCTGCCAGATGTCCACACAGTAATTCAGTTAGTGCGCAGAAATGAAGTTAGACTTTAGCTGCCCGACAGTCCACTCCCATAAACACAGAGACACATATAAGAGGTAAAGGGGAAGAAGCTGAGTCATAATTCTTTCACTTCTCATTTTCTGATCAACCTCAAATTACACTCTGAACACAAAATTTAAAAATCCCACGTATAGTTTTTTTTACTATACATATTCAAATCACACAGTGAACAGTAAGCTCTAGAAAGACATGATTACAGTCAGAAAATGGCTGCCTTCATGACTCAGCAGTAGGAAGTGGGGTGGTATGTCTCGCAGACAATGCCTGGACTGTCCAATATGACTTTTGACTGATCTGTCTGAGGGCGTGTGTGGTTATTATTAGCAGCCTCTTGAGCCAGGAGAATATGAGTCTATCTGAGACATGCACCTGATCATTGCAGTGGACAAGCCAGCTGAACGTGCCAGATGACAGCCTGCGGTCAGTTCAAGCAGTCCTGAGTTGGGTTGGTTGAGCAATTGTGTGGGTATCCCCTTTTTGTCTCACATACCCAACCAACTATTTAAATGTCTTTTTGTCCTGAAGCCCATTCGTAAGAAAAAAGGAATGCTACGACTAATTACAGACATCACTACTCTACCCCCTGACAGAAAAAGCAGGCTGTGATCTTCCTCTTTATCACTTTAGTGCTTGATAGTGTACCCCGAGATATTACCAGGATTGTTGGGCTGTACTGTACATTCACATAAAGAAACATTTTAAAAAACATATTTAAAAAGAGAGAGAGAAATATCCATATTGGGGTTTATAAAATACACATTTACTTGGTTTGTACAAGCATGGTACTATATAGCAGCAATATTAAATACTGGCATAGTTTCTTTAACACTTTGCTTGGTACAAATTTTTGATGATTTCATGTTAATGTGAACTAAAATCACCTTGTTGAATCTATGCCACAAATAATTAAAGGAATTCTAAAAGCAAAAGAGAATCCATCCCATTATTAGCAATGTGTACCTCATAAAGTGTCCAGGGAATGTAGCGATCTGTTGTGCAGACCTGTGCAGACTGGATTTCTTCAAAGTGTAGAACACTCAGGCTTTTCGAGTGAGGAACTACAGGTTTTGGCACTTCTGCGATTGCGTCATTTATCCCTCAGGTTTATTTCTTGAAAAGAAAATACTCAGAAAAAAGTTCATGTTGGCATGTTTTCACGTTGAAATCATTTGAATTCGTGGGCACATTGTGATCTACAGTTACATAGCTACATGCAAATGCTCCTGAAAGCAGCTGTGTAAGATGCTGCTATTCATCGAAAGTAGCTCCACATATTTGACCTGGCAGATTTTTATGCCAGATGCCTTTCCTGACACAATCCCCAAGGGAATTGGATCTCCTCTTGAGACTGAAGCAGGTGTGTTTTTGTTAGGCGAATGTGTGAATCCATACAGTATGGCGCCACCAAGTAGCATTATTGCTTTCCAGATACAGATGTTAACACAAATTGTTAACTGTGGGATATATATGTGCAAAGCAACAGCTGACTATGGATAATATAGACATGTGTAGAAACATTTATTTAGCTGTATTGTTAATTTCTGGCATTTGTTTCAAATATAATTTTATACGCTCATCACATCTTCAAGATGTACTTCCAATCGCACTTTTGAAAATCACTCTGCTGCACTCTCAGTTTGTAGGCTGCGAAATAAAAATAGACTTTAACACACTGGCAGGTAGAATGAGCTTGGGAAGGTGTGCGTCTAATTATTTCTCTTGTGTTTCTGAAGCTCATTAAAGTTGTCATACATTGTTTTTCCTGTAATCGCCAAATAATTATCCTTTGATACCACATACTGTAAAGCTTTGTTTACCCATCATCACAAAGCAATTATCTTTGATTTTGAGACATATGTTGAGATGAAGGAATAATTGCTTGTTATATTAAGATAATTGGACAAATTGTTTTCTTGCGATTTAACTCCAGGAAATCAGCATGTTGTTTTAGAAAGTCAAGTAAGTTCAAATGTACTAACATATTTTTAAAACCCTCTTTAGAAGTAGATTGCATCCACTAGGCAGGCTGCTTCTTATATTTAATGGTTAAAAACTTCAGCTCAGTGTTTAGTGTATTGTGCCACTTTTCTTGGAAACAGATGACTTCACTTTAAACACTAGACTGGAATCAACAGGGAGCAGGAAACCACCCTGCCAAATTGTTCTTAAGCACCATCCATCCATCTTCTTCCGCTTATCTAATTCAGGATTATGGCTGAGCTAGGGCCTGTCCCAGCTGTCATAGGGCAAGAGGTGGGGTACAGCTCGGACAGATCACCAGTCTATCACAGGGTTAACACAGAGAGACAGTCAACCATTGAGGCTCTCATTCACACATACAGCCTATTTAAAATCACTAATTAACTTAACATGGATGTCTTTGGACTCTGGGAGGAAGACAGAGTAGGTTTTCTATTCATGTATATATGCGATTAGTCTCAGATGGCTCAATATAAATAAAAGAAACTTTCTGAAACATTTAGCTTAATCTTTCCTTTATCATTGGGTTCAAATGTGGAAAAACCCCACAAAAGCTGTGAATATTTTTCCTTTGTGGAGCAGTCACACATCACATTTTATTGCTCTGCACTTAGTGGCAGTTACAGCACTGTGCAAAACTCTCAGGCCACCCCTCATTTCTCTATATTTAGCTTCCCCAGACTCAAATACTCTTGTATTTTTTCTAACTTTTGTACAGTACTGTAAGTCCATAAGTATTTTGAGAATGACACGCACTCTGTATACTGTCACATTGTTTTTAAAATGAGAACTTAAGATGTGTCTGAAACACAGACTTGTAGCTTTAATTTAACAGGTTTTAACAAAACTGTTGCATTAACTGTTTAGGTATTACAGCCATTGCTATGCAGACATCTACACTTAATCAGTCACTGATAACAAAGAAGTTTCATCCAAGTGTTAAAATCACTCCATATATTTAAAATCATATTGGTCTGTCCTGTTACTTTTAAGCCTCTGAAAACTGGAGACAAACACTAATACCAAACACTCTGGTGCCCTCTAGTGGTGGCAACACCACGATGCATCAAATCAGACTAAAAAAAAGGAGTCCAAATAAGTTACACAAACTCAAACTTTTTTCTGTAGGTCAACTTGTCTATTTAATATATAAAATACGGTAAAACATACGCAAAAAGGGGAGGGTAAGAGGGGACCAATGGATACTTTGGTACAATAACAAACACTTTTTTTTGTAAAAGCAGTATAGAATTTGTAATAACATATCAGTGCATACTTTATTTATGAAAATATACACAAATTGTATATCATTCTCCAAAAACAAAAACAAAATTATCTTTACAACAAAAAAGCAGACTAGCCGAACACAATATATTAGCTATAATTTATTTAAACTTTTTTTTCTTTAATTTCACTTTTTTTTTTTATGTAATCCTGTGTGATGTGTTTTTGTGTCAATATTACATTTTATTTCCTATAACATGATTCACACTTCTGTTGTTTTGAACGCCCATGCATTGACATAATTGTGTCTGGTCAGAAATAAGTTAGACGTGTCACGCTGCCCCACCCCCTTTAGACTCAGAGGTTTGTACATTGGACTCAAAGTTTTGCAGCATTGAAGCGATTTGTCGACTCAATCAGCGATTCCATCCACAGCCACACGTGGAAACTAATATCACTACTCGTGTGTTCCTTGTTACATGTCATAAAAATCGTGCAACATTAGTAACACCCTTGTTGAAGAAGAAAGAAAAATCCCAAAAAATGAAAACAAAAATATATTTATAGAATATTCTTATATAATAAAATAAAATTCCAAAGAAAACAAGAGGTCTAACCTACACAAAAAAACAAAAACAAAAAACAACAACAAAAAAAAAGAAAAGAAAATGCAGAAACCTATATCATCATGACAGCTACTATCAGTGTGGCTGTGGTAATGATGATAAGAATAATAATAACAATAATATCAATTGTCAGAGAACAATTAAAAACAGACTGTCACCAGCACAAATTAACACTGGAAAGTGAGTGAGACTTCTAAACATCATTGTACAGGAGCATATATCTCTCTTTCAGGGGGGGATGCAAGTTCTTAGAACGGCTTCTCAGCACGATTGTCTGTTGTGTGATTACAGCGACCCCTAGTGTTGTTCTAAAGAACATGTTAGGGCTTCACAAGGGCTCTCACCTGCCTGCTCACAAACAATCTCATTTCTTGGACGAAACATAAAAACTTTTTTTGTTTCTTTTTTTTCTTTTTTTGTTCGAAGCTCAGGGCACAACAGTCTTAACAGTCAAAGTGTTTACACTCTGGGGATTTATGTTAACTCTGCCAAGCACTCAGAAAAGCAATATTGACACTCAGACTTGTCACAGAAGATGAATGTGTGTGTGTGTGTGTGTGTGTGTGTGTGTGGGGGGGGGGGTGAGTGAGTGACAGACGGAGAAAAAGGAAATGAGAAATCACTGATGAACTGAAGGGCGGATGATGGCAGTAGTGTGTGAGATGAAGCTGCAAGTCGAATAGAGTTGGGAGGGGGGGTTGGTGGTGGTTGTGTTTCTCATGGAAATGACCCCAAAATAATTTGACTTGTCAATTCAGCGCTGACACCCGCTATCTGGACGGAGTAAACAGAAGAGGAGTGTGTAATGAAATGTGTGCGTGTGTTTGTTTGTCTGGGTGTAAGATTAAGCTTCCAGAGAGGAGGGGAAAAAAAAAACAAAAAACCAAGTGAGTGACAGGGGTGAGAGAGAGGTGACGAGGGCCTGCCCATGAGAAGGATGTGGTGGCTGGATGCGGTAAAACCTAAAGTCGACAAGTCTGCGTTGGATTTGGGAGGTAGTCATTAAAAGATCAAGAGTCATTCTGAAACCTCCGGCTTAGCGACGAACGACACCCAAACGCCAGTGCTTTTAACAAGCAAATGGACGGAGGCTGAGAGTGCTTTTAGGAAAAATAAATACATGAATTTGCACTTTTGACCACCATGTTTAAAAAGAAAAACCTAAATCAACCGTTGCCACCTTTATAGAGTAGAAAAATTACATCCTTCACTTCTCTTTTCCTTCATAGTCTTCTTAAACTCTCCATAATATAAAACTGCAGCCAACCAGTGACAGGCGAAGGAGAGATCCTTTAAATATAGAAACATGGCTTTTAATTGGAGGAGAAGGTAAACCTCTAAAAGGAGAAAAAAAAAAAAAAAAAAAAAGAGGGATCAGGGAAATCCTTGGCTTGCTTAATCATAAACTATCTATATGTATTTATTCTAGAGTTTGACTGATATGGTGGTAGCGGATAATAATCTTTTGCATCAAGTTGCACAAAATACCCAATATTTGGCAGTCGCTGCACGAGGAAAAATTCCAGTAAAGTTTAATTTAGCTAAATGATACAATAGGAATGGCATTTTTTTTGTTTTTTGTTTTTACTAATCTTTAGTTTTTAGCAGGTTTCAAATAAATGCTTCCATAAAAGATTCATTTGAAAGATGAAACTACATCAGCAATGACTTTGAAAGATTTACAATTAGTAACTGAATTTGATGTAGACAGTGCTACACAGCTATAAGAAAATTTCTGTTCCAATTTTTATACAACATAACTCTTTTGTTTGAAAAAAAAATGTAAACAACTCCTTAAATTGGACTTATGATCCTTTTCCTTGCTTTCTATCCAACGTATGCAGCTCACACTAAACATATCCGATCCTTTCAGCCCTAAATGTTCGATTTTTGTTTTCTACTCTTGGTTCTTTACAAAGCCAGTTGCAGCAGTCATTTGAGACACAAAGCACTGGCCATGGCCACCTACCTGCTATTCCAAGTCTTTTTCTTGTGAGGGGCAGGCAAATAGAAAAGAAAAAGTAGTTGGCTTAAAGGGAGAGGGGAGACTGCTTTCACAGAGTTGATAAACTGAGGGTCTGCAAAAAAGATATACAAGGATTTATTTGAACTGTGAGTCATGCAAAGCTACCCTGATAAACTTTAAGTTTGAAAATCTGGAGCTGGAAATGGGAATAACAAGTCTCATTTAAAAAACTGCTTCAATCTATTAACTTAATATATTGAATCTTGCAATTACTGAATTATTAATTTAATTAATTAAATTGCTCCAATTAGGCAACCACACTGAGACCCTTACTGTAGCTTGTAAATTACTTAAATTAAACTACATCAAAAGAGAATTTTGAGAAATAAATAAAAATTGCAATATGTTACATGTACCTGCCATTTTTAGGTTGTTATCCAGCCAAATACATCAGTCTAACTCTAGTGTGTGTGCGCTGTGCGTGCGTGTCAGAGGTGGGAGTTAAGGTAAAGTGCCCTCCATCAGCGACAGAGTCCTAATCATTGCTCACTCTAAACAGTCCGAGTCACCACGGCTACGTCTTCCCTTCCTGCCTCTACAACACCCTCTCTGGGCTCGTCCACATATTACACTTTATATACACACATAAATAATAATAATAATAATATAAAAGAGACAGATCCACTGAGAATCAATGTTTGTTTGTTTTTGTTTTTTTCCACTTCCTTAAGGGATATCCTGCCGAATATATAGTTTATATATACAATCCCTGTCGTCTGGTCTAGTCTCTTGCCCCAAATGCAGAGCTGCCCTTGCTACCGCCTGAAGCTGTTTAAATATATACTTGAATATGATTTTTTTTTTTAACCTTCAAAAGAAAAAAAAACCTTATCCCTGTCACACAAAAGCCACAAAGGTTACAGATTGCTTATATACATGGTACCTCACGATTCTCCTCTTTGAACATCAGCTATCTATTCAAAACATGAATTGCTCACAAAAATAATTTCACCTGTGTGCGTTGCAGGTGTGTGTTCAAGGATGAAATTGAAAGTGAAGATTTATCCAAATTCACTTGGTTTAAAAAAAAAAAAAAAAAAGCAAAAAAGAAAACAACCAGTTGAGGTAACAAACCCGTATACACACACACACACACGCACACAAACAAACCAAACACACACCTTTCTCAGCATCTGTAGTTGACACGATGTGGGCGAAACGAGGAGAATCTGCGTCATGTGTCGTTGAGCTGTGGCAGCTCGTCCCTGATTCAAAGAAAAGCAGTCTTTTACCTCGGCAACAAATCACGTTCCTCGTTTTACAGCTGGCCTGCATGGTTCTGATTAAATAAAGACCCCTGGTGGTTGCCATTCTTGTACAGGACCCAATGCCGGCCATGTTGATGGAGCCGCCGACTTGACTGAGAAGGGAGGCAAGTTATTCTTTTAGTGTCTTCATATTCAAAATGAATCCAAACTCTAAATGTCAACAGTCAAGACAGAGGGACAAAACTCCACGCTTTAAAAAAAAGAAAAGAAAGAAGAAGAAGAAGAAAAAAAAAAAGAGCAGAGCTGCTCCTCTTAGAAAACAAACAAAAATCTAGAGTGATAGCAATACAACTGTGGATGGGCGGATGTGTACATCGATGTGGACTCGTTGGTGGCACCGTTTTAATACAGCGCTGTCATATTTGATCAAAACCTACCAGACAGTAAAGATATGAAGGTGAGAGATTGCCACCAGCCGTGAATCATGGCAGGGGCATGCTGGGAAACCAAGTTTGGCTTGTCTGCGTTTCCAGAAACTGTCAAGAAGTCCATGTGGCCAAATTTAATCAGGCCACAGTTCCTAACCACCGCAGCCTGATTACAAACTCATTCACTTCTATCCGAATCCAGCTGAATGATGTGCAGCATGGTCTTTTTTTTTTTGATAAATAATTCCTGGTCTTGTTGGGTTTGGTGTATGTCAGTGAGAATACATTACAGTTCAAACGTGACTGCACATTGCCATACGAGTGAGTGTCCACATGTGCGAGTATGTTAGCATGCTTGTGTTGTGTATGTATCCATGTGAGGTTTACTGTGTAGACAGCAGGTTACTGGGTTGGTGGTGGGTGGATTTTGTCTGTGCGTATGCAATGTGGATATTGGGGCTGCTGGAGCTGGTGGGGCATGTACACAATCCACAAGTACACATCTCCATCCTCCATCTGTCCATCGATCCGTTTATGTGACCCAGGTGTCCAGTCTCATTCTCTTGACGTTGGTCCCATCCTGTTCTTGAGGCTCTGCTGATGAGGGCCGCAGAAGGACCATGGTGGGCTGCTGGGCTCCGGCGCCGACCTGGTGGTGATAATCCAGACCCCCACCTCGACCCTGGGTGCCATCGTCTCGGTCGCTGCCTTCATATGAGCTGCCGTTGCTGCTGAGACTGTCAACAGGTGAGCGGCCTTGGCCTCCCGCTTCAAGACGCAGAGTACCAGGGTAGGCGATGGACACCAGACCTTGTCCCTGGAGTTGACTCTGGCCCACTCCAACTCCAGCCACCCCACTGGTGGAGCTGGGAGTGCTGCGGTCACGGTTTGGTGAGACGGGTTCGGACTTGATATTGACATTGGGGTTTGTGTTGACTGTCAGCGCGGCACCCTGTACTCCCACTTGCCTGGAGAAATGACGGATAGAAGAAGAAAGAAAAGAACAAGAAGCATTATGTCAGTATGAAATTACACAACTACACGTATTATCCATCAAAAGTACATGAGAGCAGATCTTCATTAGACAAAAGTTTGCAGGGATGGAACACAGAGCTCAGCCAAAACTGTAAAAGAATGGTCGCTTTAAAATGAATGGATCAAAGAATTCAGTAAACATATGCTGGACTTGTAAAATGAAAAGCAGGATTTTCAAGCAAAAGGCACCCAGGTAACACTATACACTCGGAACACGAAGGCTTGAGTGGACTTAAGCACATGGAGAACAAAGACACAAAGAACAGATAAGGCTACATTAAAGCAAATTCAGTAAGCCATGCAGCTGAAACACTCGGATATTAGGTTTGATCCCATAAGGTCTACAGCTGAACATCATACTGGAGCATCAAAAAAGATACTCAAGTCATCATTCAGTGGATGCAAGTAGCTAAACAAGAACATCTGCATTTTGTATTTGCTCTGTTTTATATCTTTGTTTGTGATACAACAGCTATTAAAGGGCCTAAAGAACATGTTTCCTAAAATAAATGAAAGAATGACACATCACACATTTTGAAGGGTTTAAATATGATAAGAAGTACGACAGAAATCAAATATATTTTAGTTGTCATTTGCTAAAATTATGTTTATTAAAAAAAAACTGGGAAAATCTGTTGCAGTGTAAAAATCTAAAAATATTGGAATTTAAATGTTTTTACATGTCTATTTTAAAGTTATATTTTGTCTTTGCTGTACTTTGTATTTTATTCTTATGGGAAAATTTTAGGCACACCAAGGAGCAGTGCAAACCAAGACTACAATTAACACACAACCTCTAAGGCTTTTGGTTCAAGGTACTGGTCTTGGTTTGTTTTTTTTTTGTTTTTTTTTTTTAAAAACACTATACTGTTATACTATCCTGTCATACTTGATCTGGTAAGGTTGCTTTCCTCCATGCCTGGGCCACTTCCACAGCTCTTTAATGAGCAAATCTCCCTTTGTGCTTGTGGATTTTTATCTCCATCTGTCCATTTTTTCTGCCAGGTGCGCCCCTGATTCCTTCTCAGAAAGCAGCTAACTTTTACTTTCCCTTGTACTCAAAAGAGCATCTTTTTCACAAGGTCACAAATTACGCATCCTCCACTCTTCTATTCTGTTTTCGTGTGGAAGGTCACTGCCATGTTCGTTTTTAGCTGCATATGCCACAGAGCATCTTTCCCGGCCGATATGGTCCATGCTATGAGAGCGGCATCGGTATTATATTCAAATAGACAACTAAAGCAGCAGCGTGATCTTCCTTCCTTAATGGCTTTTTTTCATGCTGTCCATAATTTTTTTTTAGCATTAAAACCAAAATTTCTCTTGTGCTGTTCGTTCCCCCCGGAACATTTTAACATTATGTCACATTTGATTTGACTTGATTATTATTAGTTTACAAATCTATCAGCAGTTCTCTTAAACCTCCAAGTAGCGCCAACCAAGAGCGTCACAGTAGAGTGTAAATTATGCTCTATTGTTATATATGATAAATTGTATTCACTTGGTGTTTTGTAAGTTAGATCAGCATAAAAAGTATTTTCCAGATAAACAGAAAATATTTAGATTCACACGTGAAATGTTCACAGGTTTTCAAATGAACCAATCCACACCTAACTCCTTGACTGCGCTGCCCTAAGATCCTCAGGACAATTATATGCCAAAAAGCTTTCGTCTTTGTCACCATCTCTGCTTCTACCTGCCAAAACTCTTTGATCAGCACCACCTCACCCTCCTCCGCTGGCTGGAGGCTGAGTCGAACCTGTCACTGTGGCTGACACAGACTGTTGACGCTGCGCTGTGGCTCGCTCCTTTTAACGCCGTCGACATGATTTTTTGGATTGGGCTCGTTCTATCTTTCCCTCTCCTCCAGCTTGACATGGTGGATCTGAATTTGAAGCTCCCAATTACTGCGTTTCGCCCCTTGGGTGTGTTCTAATATGTCATATCATGAGCCATCTGCACCACTGTATCTCTAATATTCCCTCAATTACTGGCAGACTGAGAGGGGAATTTAAGATAGGACTCCTCCAGGCGATCTGGGTCCGTGGCACTCAAATGTGCTCGCTGTCTTCCTCTGTCTGACACACACTTAAAGTTGTGCACTCTTCCTGCCTTACATAAAAATGCTCCTTCCCTCCCATACTGTCTTACAAACACACCTACACACACACCTACACACACACACACACACAACGACACAAATCCCTTGGTAGGACGATGCTCACGCCGTCTCTCTCGTACCCACTTCATCAAACCTGCGTGTCGTGGCTCGGGACGGTACAGGTAGATGGATGATGGTGCCACAGGGGTGCCGTTGCTATGGCGAGTGAAAACGGCTGAGTCAACAGTCCAGTGACAGTGATGAAGGCGAGAGCGGCAGGCTACCCCCCGAGCACTAACAACACGGTGAGCACAGCCAGAAGCAGACACTTGGTTACAGTGCGGTTTGTTGAGCTGCAGCCGTGTTTCCCAAAATGCTCTGCTTTTCTCAGGATGAGAATTGGGAAGAAAAAAAAAAAAGTTTGTGTTTTCAAGAATTTTAACTCCAATCAGACTGTTAACCTGTGCGCTATCAATGAAATACTAGTCTATTAATACTGCTGATTTTTTTAAGGGGTGTTACAGATCAAGATCAGTTTACTAATCACGAGTAGGCCTACTCATCAGCTCAGCAGGAGCTTTTTCAGGACTGAGAAATTAGCCCTGGTGATGTAACAGTGATGCTATCAGTATTACTTGGGCTTAACAGAAACATTTTACAAACTGAAGTATAGAACGAAGGAATAAACAGGTACTGGCGTAGCTGGCCATGACTGTTTCTTGACTATTACTTTTGAGTTCAGCTTTCTAAATGGTGTTCTGCTGAGGATGTCCATTACTGAATCTTAGCTCCTCAGTTAGTAATTGCAAGCAGTTCCTTTGTCAGATTAGTTTAGTTGAACCATCTTGGTGGTACATTAAAAACAAAGGAAATATTATCTGCTTGACGCCATGATACTTTTGTTTCTTTCTTACTACTAACCACTGCTGTTTTGGAGTTAAAGTACCAAAAGGTTCCTTTGTGAAGCAGATATTTTGGGAAAGCGGCATGCTGCAGCTGTGTGGCTTAAGTGTAAAGAGTACTATACCAGCAGAGGCCCTCCTCCCTACCAAAGAGCAAGTTGGGCTGAGAAGCCAAGCTGTGGAGGGAGGTGGAAAAAGAGACAAGCAAGTTTTAAAAAGCTAAAACAGCAGGGAGACAGTGGGACGGAGACCAGTCATGGTCAATCCAGACACGCTTACGACAAAAAACAAAGGGCCTTAACAGCTGCTTCGGTCAGGCTGGGATGTTGTTAGAGGCAGAGTCGTGAAAAGCAAGAAGTGCTTAAGCCTGTGCTGAGAAAATGTGATCCACATGCAAAGCACTTTTACAGACACTTTCAGTAAAACTGAAATGGTTGAGTTTCCTAAAATGGGATCAGGCAAATTGGCAATCTGTAGTACAAACTCTCCTTAAAGGAATATACCACTAATTTTCTGTGTAGTTTGCAGAGACCTTTAAACTTAAAGTCATTTTTGAAATTCTATTCTTCTTTAACTTTCTTTTGCCTCTGCGTCAGTTGTGAAATTGTAATAAATTCATACTAATTAGTCTGTTTATTAAAGTCTGCTTATTAAAGTTGAGTCCACGTGGTGCCAAAAATCAGCTTGCTGTTGCTAAATAAAGATTCCTGAGCCCCATAAAGTAATTCTGCAATTTAACAATCTAACATGTGACCATCTTATATAAATGTAATGGATAAATAAACAAATTACCCACATGGCACACACTTAATAGAAATAAAATTGTATTTTTATTGTACAGGTAGAGGGATGTAAAATGAATCCCCCGTGGTTTCTAATCTAGGGTTTGAGAAAATACTGATTCCCACCAGGAGGTTTAACTGCTCATACTCTGACAGCATGTACACACCATGCCCTGCCAACAAACAGTGTGTCCTCTTAGCAATTTATCAGAGTGTGCACCATCTCCAAAAGTTCTTCCTTTTTTTCAGTTTGTGTTTACGAGTTAGGAAACAAGTATAACGAAAAAGAAAAGCTGGGCACAAAAAAAAGAAAGAAAAAGAGTTAGAAACCAATAATTTTTTTTAAGCTCCGTACTGATTGATTAGTAGCTATGTACATTAAAACATCACTTGTGTACTAGCAAACAGCCACCCCTGAAAGTGGGTCTGTTTGTTTCCTGTGAATGTCCCAAACGGAGGCTGTGTCTGCTGATAACACATCGACTCAGTGAGGAAACAAACCATGGCGACATGTCCTGCAAAACCAGTATGTAGAGACCATTTCTCCATAAACACCCAGACAAGCTGAATGCAAGGCTGCGCAGCGAGGGGATTTAGGGGCAGCCGTGACATTAACATTTAGATTAGGAAGTCAGGTCGAAGATGAGAGTCAACAGGTGTACACCAAATTAACTGAGCCTGACCAGGAAAGCAGGAAATAAGCAGAATGACAGAACTAGTGGAAGAAGGGATGATTAAAACGAGGGAAATGGAGAGAGTAAGTTGACAGGAATCATTTCCTTGTGAAGCCTGTGGTGAGGAAAAGTGTGGCCGACAGCGAAGGCGAGGCTCGCAGCCAAGCTGTCAATCACCATTTGATTGGAGGAGCTTGTTTGCTCGCTGTGAGGCTGCGGTGTGATGAAATCAGAAACAAAGCAGAGCAGTCTGGACTGCAGAAGAGCCCACGTCTGCTCATGCTGTCCTTAGGAAGGCACGATTTTCCGTTTTGCCGAGAGAACAGTTTGGCAAGCTGGGAAAGCATCCCACATTTTCTGTGGTGCTTGCTTGTTTTCAGTGGCAATGATTCTGTTATTCTGATCCCACACACAACACTGTAAATCCGCCTGGTGTCAATTCCAGTGTCACACCTGAGGTTGCTGAAACTCTGCCACAGTCAGCATCTGGGCGCCATGATTATGCAGAAAATGGGAGATCCTGCTTTTTCGTTTTTTTCGTATTTTGAGGAATGTCTTGGTTATTTTATTATGAAAGAAATCCTTTGTTAGAGTAGCTCAAAAAGCGATGAAACATGGCGATCAAACAATTAAGGAATAGAGCAAAGCAAAAACGCCAACTTTCCGCAGTTCCATGAGCTCAAACGTAAAACTTCCTGCTCCTTCTGTTTCTTTTCTTTTTGCAAATACTTGAACATACTTGAACTTTGAGCTTTTATCTTCCTACAAAATTCCTGAAAATCATTAGTATGTTAAGAATATTTTTGATATGAAAAATGCTCCATATTGCTGTCGGTATAAGAAACAGTTGTTGTATTATTACAGCCAACGCTCAAGGAAATCACTGCTGGCTGCTTTTTCAGGATCTCCAAGTGGTTCAATTGATTTGTTTGCAGAAGGATTTCATACAATCTGGACTGCCATTTGTTAACATTTACAAGGCGATATGAAGAGTTCTGCTGCATATGAGCTGGTGGTGACTGTTAACTATATGCTGCTTTTTCAAAGATGCTCAACCCCCTGGAGTCACAGCTGTTGTATACACTAACAAACAACCCATTATCATATTTTCCTGGATGATTTTCAGCTTGTCAGACAGAGGAACAAATAACAATCTCTTTCCTGACAGCTAGAATTATTCTAAGTGTCTTTAAAAAAAACAAAAAAACCAACAAAAAACACATTTCTCTTATTTGTTTTATTTTGAATCTGTTTTGTGATCAAGATTCGAAGCCGCTGTTTAATTGAGATACATACATTTTGAACAAGAGGATAGCAGCACTTTAACGCCCTTGTCTGTGTGTATACGAGTATTTTACAGGGAATTAAATATCAACTGGAAATAAACACGTCTTTTTTTTTTTTTAAAGAAATAGCTGCACTTGACAGTGATTCTATACCGTCGAGCTCTAAATTATTCTTTTAGTCCCACTAGTGTAGGAAATTCAGACCAACGTGTACCTGAGCAGTTCAATCTTCTGTCTGACTGTCAGCTGAGAGTGACAGCTAAATGGCTGAAAAGTAAAATTTTAATGCACTAACAATGCTGGTGGCGCAGAGCTGTGCGCTGGTTTTGTGTTAGGAATTGAAAGCAGCACCCAGAGACTACTTCCATTCAAGAACATAGCAAGGTGCTGCTGCTGTCACACTGAAGCTTCTTCCTCTTTGTTGATGACACTTCCAAAGAGCTTCAGATCTAAGCTTTAGGTGGCATAAAAACTCCTAGAACCAGACTAGTCAAATGATAATCTGAGAGGGAAAAAAAGGTGCTTTTGCCTCAGCAGAAGTGAACGAGCGGTGATACACGGAGAGAGCAAAGCAACAGGCATCACATCAAACATACAAATGGAAAGAGAAGACTGGCTGATATTGTGTTTGTCATGTAATTGCATCAATTTTGTATTTCTTTTGGTTATTTTGGTCACAAACTGTCAAGTTATTATAGACTCATAATTCACTGTGGGAGTATAATAATTTGACAGATAAACAGTGTGGCAGAGCACCAGATGCTATCATGTCATTCACCTCAGGTTAGCAGCAAAATTGGAGATGCAGTTAACCATCTCCGCATTCTGTTTCTCTGCACCCCACATGCTGTGGAGAAAAAGGGGGGGAGGGAGGACAAAACAAGAGGCAGTTACAAGCTGCTCCCCCACCCACACATTAACCTAGCAAACCCAGAATGGTCACATAAAGACTTAGTTGTACCAACTTAATTTGTAAAGTAGAAATGTAGTTGATTAGACTCAGGTAAAGGTCACATCAGTTCTGCAAGTGTAAAAATAATATGGTGACATTTCACTTTTTAAAATCGCTTTCATGGTCTTGCAAAGCACCAACAAAGGGAAGATAGGTAAAAAAAAAAGCTAACCTCGGTTAGAAGGACTTACAAAGAATGTCTCAATAATAAAGAAACATACTCCCAAACACAAACACTGAACTCAAAGAACGGACCCACCTTTGTAGCTGTGTTTGCAAAAGTAAGTTAGTTGTTTTAAACCTAAGAAACTTTTTAAGGAGCTGTTTTTCTTCATCAGTTGTCTGCTTCCTGTACTGCACTGAGCTGCGAAAAAAAACTGTTTACAAAGTAGCTTTTGAGTGCTGTATAATCAGTTAAAATATGATGGCTTGATTCAGCTACTAATGGTGTGTGTCTGCTCTGTAATGACCTCGCTTGTTTGGAATTCATAAGTTCGTCTGACTCGTTATAGATCTGGTCATCTGAAGGAGATAAGAACGTCCTTAGAGCACAATTTAACCATGCAATGCAAATCGAGCCTAGTGTGTCTGTTAATACGCACCAACATACACATTATTTTTGTTTTGTTTTTTTCAAAGGCAGTCTGTGGTTTCACAGATGCATTAGAAGTATCCATCACCGGATAGCCATCAAGACACCAAGAACAATGGGACTACTAAAGTAAGAAGACGGACCACCATTCTAGTGATGATTCCAGGCTTTTTTTGCTTTACAGCAAAGCAAAATATAAGGTCTGAGGGCACTCAGACCAGCTGCAGGGATTTATTTTTTAATTACAAAGTAGCTCAAATTCTTCAGGGTAAACTTTGTTCTAAGAGTAACCTATTGGCTGGAAAATTAGGAAGACTTGAAAAATGGAAACATCCAAGAGTGAGTCCACCTTTAAAGTTTTAAATCTAGAGCGCCACATAATGCAGCTAGAAGCAAAGCCTTGCAACCAGAAGCTAAAGACTGGGACCGCAGTGGGAGGTGGAGCTGAGCAAGGGGAAGTATCTAGGTCACCACGAAGATGAATAAACCGCAGCTTGGGTGATGTTACAGCTTTGTATACGAGCATGTGCTATGGTTTGTGTAATGGATCATGTGACACGTGTGGCTCTTGTAAAAGTTTTACTGCTCAGGTATTTCAAGGAGAAGGTTAAAGGTTGTAAGATTAATGGATTCATCTCATTAACGGTGTTTTATAGTAAGAAAAGGGAGCTTACACCAAGTTGCTGAGTGATGCCAAGCTCAGTTGCTGTTGCTGCTGTTGCTGTTGTTGCTGCTGAGAGACTGCTGGTTGCTGTTGCTGTTGCCAAGCAGCCATGTTGCCAGGCACCAGCCCCGGTGGCGTGAACGTCTGGAGCGCTGTGAGATCTGCGCTCGTCAGCTGGTACTCTGAGATTAAGGGATGGAGGGGGAGACGCAGAGGGAGAAAGGCAGAGAGAGGAGACGGAGAGGAGGGGTGAGGGGGATTGTTTTACATCATACAACTTTCGGGTGCATCAATATTAATCAGCGCTAATCCATATTAATGGAGACCTTTGAAGTAGAATCACTCCAGAAGCTCTCACACAATGAACAAAGTGAATATTCATAGTGGTTTGTGGCATCACACTACAAGACTTCCAAGTTTTGCTGCCTTCCACAACTCACCAGTGTTGTAGGCCGTCTGCATGCCGGAGAAGGGCGCTAGGAGACTGGGTGTTGCCACGGAGACCACTGGTGTGGTGAGTGGCTGTGCCACCTGGGAGCCGCCTAGTCGTTGAGCATTCTGGGAACACAGAGAGATGGACAGAGAAAGCTGAACATTGGGGCATGTGAAGTAGAAGAAGTGATTCTAAAAACAAAGTCTGCATTGAGCTACTGACAAGTAGCAAGTTGATTTTCATATGCAACATTTCCTCTTGGTATAAACATCTGCAAGTCTCTCTCTGCACAGTGTAGTTAATCCATGCTAAAACACTTGCACTGTTAAATTCACAACCGAATCCTTCTGATGTTTTTCATGTTGAGGAATCTCTGATAAGACACGCAGTATTTGAAAGAGAGGGTTTGGTTATAAATCTCAGATGGATGTTTTAGCCAGAATGGTTTCATAGATCCAGTGTTGCGGCTCCATGTCGTGAGAAAACCTGGTCTGGATCCACAACAAATCATCTCTTTTTCTCCTTATATGGACTGAGTGTAGAGGTTCACGGCACATGACTTCATCCATTTTCAACAGCAATAATGATAATGGTTAGCATGTGCTTTTCACTGTACAGCAGAGTGGAAGCAGAGACTGTAATGTACCCAAGGTCAGCTACTACTTAAATAATTTTACTAAAACCACAGCTTGCTCTACTTCTATTTCAAATAAAAACAGACACATTATCTCCTGCATTCTACTCTGTGCTTTACAAAGTACAAGTGCAGCAACTCTAATTAACTTCCAGCTCTGAGTTTTACTGACACTTTAGAGGTTTTATTAAGAGACAGAAGCAAAGAAAACCTAATAACTAAAATCTAATATAATAAACATTTAGTTGATTTCACTTGTGCCTGTGCAGGGCATTGGAAGATTCATTATTCACCATGCCACAGCCAGAAGCATATCCGCTTCCAGCAAGAAAATCCAAGCACCTCAGTTCTCTCTGAGGTGTTTTAACTTTTCTGTGACACTTTAACATCGGCGTGCAAGATGAGAAATGTCTCGCATCTCAAGGTGGCGTTGGCACGGCAATGCTGTCGCCAGGGCCGGGTGCTTGTGTTATGTAGCATCACGGTGGAAGGTGTTATGAGAGGCATCGCTGTGCCGGAGAATCATGCTGACAGGAACGCATGCATCGACAAGGCTGACAGAAGAGAGACGAGAGGGGCTGAATGTGTGTAAGGACGTGTTTTTATTTAGTGTGTGCATGTGTGTGTGTACAGAAAGGAATGCAAGGCATGAATAAACAATGTGAGGTGTGCGTTTGCTCTGAGGGGTGGGTATTGGTATATTTATGCAAGGAAACACCCGTGAACCTGTCAACATGCATGTGTGTGTGCGTGTGTGTATGTGGACTGAAGAGGTCAGCGTATCTGAGTCTAACACGTCCATCTGTGTTCCAGGTTGGAGACTTTGTGAGCTTTCCTCACTCTGATCCTCAGAGCATCGACACTCGGATGAAACCAAACATGCACATGCTGAGCAGCTTTCACACACAGCAGAGAGTCAGGTGGTTGCTCCGGTTCCCTTGATGTTTTCTCTCTACAGTCTATTTGTGCTTCACAAATGTCACTTTAGGCTAGGCTCAACTGTCCCTTAAATATACACATTTTAAAATTCAATTTGCTTTCAGGTTTTCCTTCGCAATAATACTCCATCAATAACAAAAACTGGAAATCGTGAAAATGCAAGTGCTAAAAGACCAAGACTGTTTTCAATATATTTCAATTCAAAAGGATAAAAAGCACAGTCTTTGTAAAAGAAAATACCTGGTCTCAAATGTTTTGGTAATATTTTACAAAGAGTACTGAGATTTAACCCTTTAAAGAATGAACCATGAAAAAACTGTCATAAAATTGTAATTTTTTTTTATAAAGAGTGATTATTGAACCTTCAGCCAAATCAAAAAATATAATAAATAAATAAATATATTAAAATGCATTATTTATTTACATTTTTATTATAGTTGCTATATCTGGCATTTTCTCTATTGCTTAATCGATTGCTTTTCTTCTATACTATATATAAACTTTTTAAAAAATTATATCAAACACTAAGTTCATTTTAGGTTATGTTTCCCAGACTCTTACGACCTTTGGTAAATACACATTAATTTGCAGTCTTGCAGAGAGTTGTTTAAGGAGACGGACAACCTGTCATGTTTTTATGAATCTTATTTTAGCTAAGAAATATTAAAAAAACCCTCCTGTTAAAAGATGATTTACACTTTTATGATTTGTGCACAGATTAAACATACACGATAAATTCTATAACACAGCTTTAGGGATGTTTATCACTAGTGTGCAGCTAAGCTTAGCTGATACCACCTGTTTCCAGTCTTAATGCCAACCTAAATGGAAGCTTCATATCACATCTTAGAAAGCAATATAGAGATTATCATTAAGCAGCTTTTGGATGTAACTTTATACTTACATAGCATTACATAGAAATGTTATCCATCTTTTCATCTGACTCTGAAAGAAAGCGTTTTTTTGTTTGTTTTTTGTTTTTGTTTTTTTTTTCCCACTGGTCAAACTCTGCCTCGTGATAAGCTTGTAGCTAATAAAGTCTAAAGACGTTTAAAATAATTAAACAGTGCCTTTTAAAACTTTATGTTCTGCATAATTGAGAGCGCATCTCATGAAAAGCTTTTCAGTCTAGTCGTATTGTAGCCATCAATATGCATTTAGTTCTCCGTTTAAGAAAATGATGTCTGTCAAATAAATGGAATATTAAAGTCCTTTCAGTCCTTGGGCCTAATGAATTAAGCATGCAAGGTATGTGGTTATGCAGAGCCTGCCTTTCTTGTATTGTGTATTGTTCCGAGACTTTCCCTGACAAACTTGAAGTTCAAGTAAAGTCTTGTAGGATTGAAACGTCACAAGTTCAAGTCTTTTCATGACTTTAATCAAGCCATAAACTTTGTTGGCATTTACAAATCTTGCGGTGAAGCTTGTAGTGAAGCATAACCCTTACAGTCAAACTCATCCAGGAAAAGAAGCAAACAGATGATTTCTCCACCGTCTGTGTGTAGCTCTGATGCTCCAGTGGCTTTACGCCTACTCTTCTCATAACACCAGTACCACTGATTCAACCCTGAAGTGATGCGTTTGCTGACCGTGTCACACTCATGCTCGGTGAGATCACACACCACATCCATGAGCCTAAAACTCTAAAAGTCTATTCACCTCACTCACCAACTCCAGCTCTTCCTCAGTCTGCACGGCCAGTGGAAGAGGGGAGAGTAAAAAACAAAGGGCTGTTAAGTTTCTATAAAATCTAACTGGTGTAGAGATATGAACATATTATGGTTACTTTGAGAATAATTATAGAGATGCATATCATGGTAATACGATACTGAAAAGTGAAGGAGAAAGACTGGATCCAGAAGTCAGCTGTGGATCTGTCTGTCTGCCTTGTTAGAGACTGTACACCATGTATGGATGGACATTGTTGCTTTATTGTGTTTACAGATTTCTGGCTGTAGTAATAGAAATTATGTAATAGTGAGAAAGTTAGAACCATATTTAGAGGAGGAGAGCAGACATTATTATATTTTAAATTACATAAATTATTTCACTTTCTGGCCATTAAAAGGCACAGTGGCCACAGCAAAAAAGGAATCTGTGAACATGTCACACATGTGACATGTGAGAACCACGTGAAACATTTTTATTTTCATCTTCTAAGCCTCTCAGTTATTCCAGACTACTGCCGAGTCCATCACCTGCACAATCTTCTTGTAGACTATTTTCTTCAGCCTGATGAATGTGGACAGGTTGTTCGCATCGCTGGAATAATTAATAACCAGAGTTTTCATATAAAGTAACTCCTCATCTTTATAGTTAGATTTAGAACAAAGGAATCTAAGGGTAAAGTTGTGCAGCAGCAGAAATAAAGATGAAATGGTTTGGCAGTTTCATTGCATGACTCAAACTGGAAGTAGCTAAAGAGAAGTAGCAGTCGTGGAAATATGTTTTCATGATATGACACATACTGCTGGAGGCAGACAGGAGGTCCTCCTGGACAGTGACTTGCACAAAGATCCTGACAAAAATCTCCCACTGTAGCATTTATGTCATTTTTGTAATACATTTAAAATCTAGATTCATCAAGTTGCTCATTCAACATTGTGGAGGTTTGGACTATCAATGCAAACTGAATAGGATAGAAAATATGAATGGTTCACCCACGAGGCCCCTATTGTATATATTATAGGCTTCATCAAAAGGCACCGTAACAAAAAGAAAGGAAAGATTACTGATACTCATCATTGAGAGACTGGCTGTATTACACTTGAGAGATTAAAACACCTGAAGCCTTCATCGCATAATTTTGACTAATTCTGAACTGAAGTGCTGCTTCCACTCATGATCTCCTTACCAGCTGCATGAGGCTCTTGCCACTCTGTGAGGTGATGACCCTCAGGTCCGGCTTACGGCTGTTGACCATCTGAGGGCTGGGTGGAGGTGGAGACTTAGCCGGGACTACTTTCCCCAGGCTGTTGCCATTGGATACAGAGAGGAGGCCTGGGGAGGCCCTGGCACTGATGTAGCCATTAGCTGGAGAGAAACAAATAAAGAAAGTGAGGTTCAGTGCAGAGGAAGTGTAGAAGGAGGTTGTGTGTTTGTCTGTTTTGATGCTTTTTATGTTTCTACCTGTGAACTAGTGACTTTTTGTGCTTGTCTGCCTGGATGTGTATATTCAGCTCTGCATGCGTGTGTGAGAGAGCTCTCATTAGTGAGTTGATCGCTCTGTCGCACCACATGCTCATCATTGTTTCTGTACCTCAAACAGCTTTTTTCTTTGCAAGATGATTCTCTGCAGCTTCTTCACATCAAAACCATGTCATGATCTCTCCAGATCTATGTTATTTCTTTATTTCCATGTTCACACTCACTCTCTACACATTTCCTCTTTTACTTTTACGTGTCTTGGCACTTGGTTAAAAGAAAAACATGCAAATCTTTCTGGACACCTGCCATCTGTGAAACACTGAAAAACCCCCACTTCCTTAGAAACTTAGCTTTCATTGCCACTGAATTATTGCTAAATTGGTCTCTATGACACAGTCAAAAATCTTCCATGCAGTTTAACGATTACACTGTACTTTCAATACTGTGACTGCATATAATGTACATGTGTAAAACCATTATATTGTATTTACACACATGTAAATTATTACTTGTAGCAATACATGATATTATAAACTGTTTTTTGAGAAAAACAAAATAAAAATGTTTCTTTTATATAAACTAAGGTCCATAAGGTTTTGGAAAATAACAGTTTTTGTCATTTTTCTTCTGTACACCACCACAGTGAATACTCTGAAAATCAGATGAAGGGACAAGGCAATGTATAAAAATGCATTTAATGTCCTTACAATTCATGCAGTAGCTTTTTAAAAAACATTTTTTTTGATCATTACAAAAATATTTACAGACCTAACTATGTGTAAATTGATCTAAGGGACTTTATATATAATATTTAACTTCATCTCTTAAGGCTTTCCTTCCAAATCATTTATTAAAATGAACAGATGTCAATTTGCCAAAAAATGAAGATGCTTAAATATTTAGAAATGCTTCATATTAAGAAATTAAACCTTTTCTGATCTCACATGGAAGTCTGGTAATGTTTGTTTTGTGTTTTAGTTAATGAGAAATGTATGAAAAGTCAAAGATAATTTTTTAAGGCCATCTAGTCCAGATGAGTAGCTCACTGATAAGTTTTTAATAATTTCAACAGTGGAGCTTTACAAGGTCTTAAATATGCACAATACATTTAATGACGTTTAAGGTAAAATGAACTGGTTTTAGTCTTTTCATGAGGCTTGTTGACAGTATTCAAAGATAAAATAACTTCTGGTTTGCAGTGTAAAAGTTCTCTCCCCCTTGTTCTTTTGATCTTTAACGTCGATCAGGGCATTCCAGTAACATGTCTGGCCACATTACAGCATGCTACACCTGTTGAACGCACCCTCCTTTGAAATGGCACAACTGCCACATTCCAAACCTGAACACTGCCACACAACAGTTACTCTAAGAAACAAAGCCTGATTCGTGACGTGCTTCTGTCACAGAAAAATACTGCACGATACAATGCTGCTTCCTCTCCCATATTTACGTTCTTTTCTATTAGTAGGTTGTGTAGTGTATTTAAGATGGGTGTCGTTGGGGTTTTTTGTCTACTGTGTTTACCTTTGTTGCCTATTCATGTTCAATCAAGTTTAAAAAATTAAAACGAACGACGGATTTGGTGGTGATGTGGAAGATGGAGGATATCTGCTTGTCATAACAACAAGGCTCCAGCAGACAGCAGCCTGTTCGAGGCTAAAAGACAAGTAGGCTCAAACAGAGACTCAGTCACAGAGTATATAAAAAGGGGGACAGCAGGGACTTTCCCAGCCCTAACACACACACACACACACAGCACACACACACACACACACACACACACACACACACACACACACACACACACACACACACACACACACCACACCACACACCACACACACCAACCCACAGTATTCTTTGTTCACATGTATACCTATGTAAGACGTCATATGTGTGATAGCAGTTCTCCATGACGCTGCCTCCAGACACAGTGGCATGTGACTCTGCTTCATCTCAGTCTCACACACACACCTCCCATAAACGAAACCTCACAACAACAACTAGAAGCGAACACTACCTCTGTTATCAGCTCAGCGGGAGGGAGACCGGGCAGAGAGGGAGGAAAGAGGAAAAGCACAATAGGAGCAAAGGAAGGAGTAATAGAGGGATAAATGGTGGAAAAGGGAAGGAGGCTTGAGAAGTTAAGGCAAAGCTTCTTAATGTGAAGCACCTTTAGACATCATGTGAGACAAAGAGACAAAGAGCTTTATAAAAAAACAAAACAAAAGAAAGATATGAAGATGAAAAGTAAACCCGGACAAATAGATTTTAAAAAGAGTAAAATATGATTAAATATAACCTAAATAGGATTAGATGAACATTATGAAAGAAAATAAAGTTACAACACAGCTATAGTGCAGTACATGATAAGACCAAATTTACCCAAATTAAATTTAATCAGAGGCAGAGGCAAATAGAAAAATCCTCAGACTTGATTGAGCTGCTGTAGACTTGAACTTATCTGAGACTTTGTTGCAAATATATGAAGGAAAAAAAACCCTGAATGCTGAGTCTTCATGTTTAGTTTTGACTCTGGGGATATTAAGCAGACCTGTTCTTGTCCTAGAATATTTGACAGGTCTGGATAGTTACTGACAGAGCAGTATCAGATTTGTTCTTTGGCCCTAAAACATGATATAGACAAAGAAAGAAAGCTGGAAACAAAAAGAGATAAAGCAGAGCTTAAATAATTGCACTGTATAGTATTACCATATAGTTTATGTTATTTCCTCCAAGTAGGAAAAAAAAACAAATCTTCAATAACCCCTCAAAGAAAAGAAAATGATCATTACAAAAAAAAAAAAAAGGAAACTATTAGCCTTTAAACTGAATTTCAAGTGTGAAGAAGGAAGGCAAGAAATGATAGAAAAAAGGAGAATTAAGAAATTACTCAGAACTGTGGGAGGGAAAAGAGAAAGGACAGAAGGAGGAACCAGTATGGTCAGGAACAAAGGAGACAGGGAACAACCAAAGAGTAAGGTATATGGAAAAAATCATTAGGAGGGTAGGAGAGACAGGACAGAGAAGGTACTGGAAGGACATGTGAATGCTGGGAGGAAAAAAAGATGTTGCAGAATGCAGCAAGGTAGAAACAGATGGAATGAGACAAGCCAGGAAGATAACAGTAGAGGATGTCAGAAGAAGGTACTGTAAGTCAAAAGACAAGAATGAGATGAAGCAATACGAGATGATAAAAGAAGAAAAGGATGGTGGAAGAAGTAGGACGGGAAGCAAGGAAGTAGACAAACTATGACCACGACAAGAGGACAAAGGAAGCTAGCAAGGAAGAAAGAAAGTGGGCTTGAAAAGTCATTTGGAAAGAAAAGACAAAACAGGATAAGGATGGAGATACTGAAAGCAACAGGGACAGAAGAAGGGGGGAAGAAGGAGGAAAGAAAAGATGCCAGCAGGTAATGAGGTAATGAGACAAGAAGCAGAGGGCATAAAGTGACCACATATTAGATATGACTGAAACAGAAAGGGAATACAGGAGGAGTGGCAAGAAAGCTACTTAGGAAAAAGGAATGAAGCACGTAGGGATGAAAGGGTATCTGGTTACAGAGGCGGGGGGTGGAAATAAGTAGCAACAGAGGAGGAGAAGATAATAAGGGAGGAGTAGAGATGAACAGAAAGGCTAGGAAAAGGAAAAAAAAGCATTTAGGAAATGAAGGACAGAAGGTAGAGAGGTAATGCGAAAGGAAAAAGAAGAGTTTGTTTTTCAGCATCATCTGACCAGTGAGAACACCTGTGTCCTGTTGACGCACAGTGAACCCTCACTACATCAGGTGACTCAGGGAAATTCTGCGATCCTCCGTGTGTTTCATGCTGCACAATGTGCACAGAGCACTTGTGCATGTCTCTGATGGAAATCTGTTGCTGTTCACATTGTGTTCATGGCTCTGTGTAAACAGAGAGGGTGGTGGCGTCGTGGCGATCCAGAGTCAGGAGTTACAAACAATGTGAATACAAGTGTGAGCCTCTGCTCGAGTTTGTGACGCGTTTTTCACTCGCCCTCAAGCCAACTCCAAATCCCCTTAGAGAAAATAAAGATGGAGTGCTGAGATGCTTGTGTAGCCCTGTATGTGCATGGATATCTGCTTACACTATACTAGACAAGTGTTGGTTTTAGCTGCAATTTGGAGATGCAGATTACTGACACATTTTTGTGTTTACTGAAGTCATTTTTACAAGACTCCAGACGCATTCTTGTTTGGACATTAAGGGATGAAAAATGGTAAATTGTGGAAAAATATGTAACAGCAAGGAATAAAACACAAAGACAGTATAAAACATGGTCCCTCATTTCCTTGGAACTCTGAATTCTGAAACATCAAAATCAGCTTTTTGAATGCTGCCATGCTTTCTTTTTTCATTTTGTTTTTTTTTTTATTTTGAACGACAGAATTTAACTATTCAATTCTTTTTTTTTAAATTACTGGAAAAACAAAATTGAGAAAATAACTTGAAATTTCGAGTTAGGCATCTTAAAAATTTGTGTTAGCTCTGCCAATCAGGAATCTCAGTGAAGGAAGTAATTTCCTTGTTACACGGAAGCAAATGGTGCAGACACGCACAAAATCCAGGTAACATGGAGATAAGCTTCCTTATTGGCAGCACTAACTCGAGATTTCAAGTTTTTAACTTAAAATTTTGAGATACCTTAGTGAAATTTTTCAATTTTCTTGGAATTTGGAGTTAGGCATTTCCAAATTTTGAGTTATTAATTCAAAATTTTCCACTATAGATATAAATATATAAATTTTTTGTGATGGAAACAAGCTTCCATATTTACCTTATGTGGATTAAATGAATTAGAGGAGCAGATTCTGATTAGGAAGCCTATGAAACAACATGGCCACACCATAACTCATTAATTCAAGTGGATGAGTTACAAAAAAACCACCCCAATCAGAGCTGTTATAAAGGGGGAAAACAATGCAGCATCTGCTATAGGCATGCTTTCAATTGTTGTAAAGTCTGGCAATTTAACACAGCAGTCTATAGCAGACTTCCTTTTGGAGTTAGCTGCAAGCGGTCAAAAGAGAAATGTCAGTTTTTGCCACGTCCTCTTGCCTTCACTTTTCAGCTTTGGAGGTTGGCCCTGACCTTCAAAATGTACTTTTAAAAAAACTAAAATCTACAATACAAATAAATCTGACTTATTTTCTAACATAACCAGCAACACAAAACAACTTAGCTTTACACGCAACTGTGAAAATCAACCGAAGAAGTAAAGGATGTATAATCCCATATTTCTAGCTTTATCTAGTAACAAATATAAATTTGTCTTGATCTGCTGAGGTCTGGAGCTTTCTGCCTTGCCCACAGAATGCATTTGAATCGAGGGCACAAATGAAAATGGAAAAATGAAAAAAAGATAAAAACCTACAACTAAGGTAAGGCAAAAACCAAACATACACATTTTTAGAGGAAAAAACTGCCCTACTTACAAAGAAATGTGAATTTTGAATAACAGAAAAGAAATTCTTTTGTGTTTATCTCTGGTCTTTGTTTTAATTCCATGCTTGCTTGTTTTCTGCCCTCTCAGTATCTCTTTTACATTCTAATATAATAACAAACAGAAACTAAATAATTTTTATGTTTTCCTAAAAAGAACTACAAGAAAAATGTTAGACTTAACAGAGAAGAGTTCAAACTTGCAGATTTGTTTTTGTTTTTTATTCCAAGCAGTTAAAAATAGCATACGCTTATTGAGTTGTGGACCCCGTGTTTTCGTGCCGAGTCGTGAAGTGACTGTATTTTAATACTTCGTGTGTTTATATTTATTGTTTACACTGAGCATCCAGAAGCTCACATGAATATAAGTCCTATTCTGAGCATGAGTCACAGAACCGCTCTGAGACATCTGTGGCTTTATTTGTGTACGTTGACTGTTCGAATGCACTTTTCCATATACTTTACATGTGTTCTTGTCAGTGTCCGGGTGAACATGTGTGACTACCGTCAGTGTGTATGTGATGTCTCTTATTACGCGAGGCTGGGCGTGGGAATGTGTGGAATGCTGGGTGACGTCAATGGTGACATTCCCGTAGCACTGACTCCCTGGACAACAGCTGAGAATGACAGATTCAAGAGGAGGGGAGGGGAAGAGGAAAAAAAAAAAAGAGGGGAAGAAGGGAGGAGAGAAGAAGAGAATGGAGAAGAAGAGATAAAAGGAGTAAAGCAGAGAAAAGAAGAAGATGGGAGAAAAATCTGAAGAAGTGAGGAACTTGAAAAGAGTGGGTTGTACAAAAAAGTAAGAAAGTAAGCAAAAAATAAGACTCCTAGGTATAGAAAGAAGACAGAAAAACTGGGATGAGGAGAGCAGCCATAAAGTGAAAGAGGAAACAAAAGACCTGGAAGAAGGGAGGGAAAAAATAGGTAACACTGTCAGGATGGTAATGGGAGACACAAAAGATGAATAAAAAAAAGAAGAAGGAGCAGGCAGAGAGTGATTAATGAGATGAAGGAGTGAGATGGGAGGACGGAGTGGAGCAGCCATCCGGGTGGATCAGGTAACCTTAGATGAGTTCTGGTACAACGAGGTTTCATATTTCGACACACGAAGGAGTCGTGATGTGTTTACAGAAGTCCTCGTGGTCACATTCATCCAAATCGAAACACAGATATCCACCTACCTTCTGAGGGTCAACTCAGCACAGCCATTGACAACTAAACAAAGGCTTATTCTTACAAGAAAAATACAATGTGTGAAGAGTTTAATAAAGTTAACAATGACTCATTTCTGAAATACTGTTAAAAACAGCTCTTTGATCTTCAATAACAAGTCCAATTTACAGCATTATTAGTCAGGACATGACTTTAAATGCTTATTTATTGAATGATGACTTGCTTTTAGCAACACTTGGTAAAAAAAGAAAAGTCTCCACACTTTCATTAATAGCTTTGAAAAACTAATATCAATATTGAGCCTTGGCTTTCGAGTATTCCTCTCATACAGTGCAGGGAAGTTAATATAAATGCATTGATTCATTTTGGCCCACCTTACCCTGAGACAATGCGTTTATCAAGTGAATATAGACAGGAAAAAAGCCCCACACCTTTCCACCATATCTATTACTATGGGTTTGCTGGCAGTATCTTTCCCAGCTAATGGGATTTAAGGGGAGAGCTCTGGCTAGTGTCAAAGTCACCTCTGAGGAGAGTCCTTTGCCAAGACAGGGGACAGTTGGATCGGGGGGTGGGGAGGTGCTGAAGGTGGTGGTGAGCGGGGTGGGGCGGTAGATTATTCTAGAGAGAAGATGAGGGGGAACAGCTGAGAGAGACAGCATGAAAAGGGGGGGGAGGGAAGCAGTGCAGCTAGAGGGTTGAATTGCGGGTGAGGGGTGGTGGGTAAGCACGGGAAGTGGTTTAAGTGAGGGGAGTTAAACAGGCTGCTCTTTTCAGCGCCAGATGACGTTGGAAAGGTGCGGGGTGGACGCCATTAATCCTATTTTTCAGATTTCCAGAACAAGATTTGACTGGTTGTTCATTTTTTTTAAGCTTGCCTCATTACAGACCATTGAATCACTCCTATGATTTGTTCAGTGATTAAAACAGATCTGGTCTTGTGATCACTGGAGTCTGTTTCCCTTGGTTGGAGAAACAATCAATCAAAGCTTTGTAGGTCAGGATTAATATACAGTACAAATGCTGAGCAGACGTCTGATTCCACTTTTATATTAAGAAGACGACAAGAAATGATCCTAAATGATAAGAGTCTTAGTTTTGCATGGATGGAAAGAGCTTCATTGACAACGACTGTTAAACTGGCTAGTGCTTAAGTTATTACACTCTAGCTCCCAGCTAATCACGTTCTGACACTTTGCTTGTGTCCGTATGTGACAAATACTATTTTAAAACAGTGGCTATACTTTTATTGTTGATATCTAATATTAGAAAGAACAAAAACAAAGAGAAGTGATGCATGGCACAATCATTGTTTTTATTTTTTTTAAATTTGATAAACTTTAGCTTTGTTTTGGTTTGATTTGCTTCATTTCCTTGGTTACCGTCTCACGCCAGTGACAAGATCAACAAAGCATTTTTGCCAGATGCCGAGGGACTCCTACTGAACTTCACTGGACTAACCCGCACAATTTAAAGTGGCATGCAGTTTGGCATATGAAGTCTGTGGGTGTAAGTGCGTCACAAAAGAAACAGTGACTGATGATGTCTACGTTAGATACTAAACAGGAAACGGAGCTGACAGAGAGAGCTGGTCAGTATATGTTGTTGTTCATTTCTTTCACTGTGATCCTCTGATGCACTGAAGGGTCAATAACAAAACAGAAGATGCCCGTATACACGCAGCCTCTGTCCACCAATCAGGATGCAGCATTAAGTGGCCATAATTGGTGTCGCTTAGCATTGCCAATCAATATCCAAGTGGCAGTTTCGCCCATTTTCAATGACACTTGTGTTATGTTTAGAGGGACATAAATCTCTAAACTCTCTTCTCAATGTACCACAGTACTCACGATGATGAAACCAAAATTAGTGAGACTGACTATTGATTGTTTGGGTCAAAATAAAGTAGAAATAAGACCCTTATCACCCTCACCAGGTGACATCAGCACAATGTCAGGCTGAATAAATGAAGTGAAACAACATGGCACTTTAGTGCGATTAGCATAGCTCACACCACCTTTTAAAAAAGGACAGTTTACCCACAGCAAAATAATATCGACAAGAAAAAGCATCACATTCAGTACATAAAAAATAGTGGAAAAATTTAATTCAATTAAAAACTCATTAACAGTATCATAATTTGAGTATTTTAACATGCTATCGGGTGTTTTACATTTCTTTTTTTTTTTTAATATCAAAGCTGCCAATTAAAAGTTAATGACTGTCATAATAATAATAATAACAATGACAACATATTCAGTAGTGGATTCAATCTTTTGTATTCAATACCTTGAGTTGCACCACAATTTAAGCTGCCATAGAAATCATGAATCTGAGTAAACCTGAACTTACAGTTTGCTTCAAATACATTTATCAGTACTCGGCTCAATTTTCATAATTCATTAAACTGGCAATAAAAATGAAATTTCGAACTCACTTTGAGATTCATGTGTCACATTAAAGCCAGTAGACCCCAGACTGGCTTTCTAATATTGCCGAAGATTTGTATTTAAAAAACAGCTGAGAAGCTTCACAGAAGTTATTCTGTAACATCGACAGTTTCTTTTCCTCTTTTTAAAGTCTCTGCTTGCCTTTCTCCCTCACAACCTGAAACCCATTCTGTTCTTTGGACTGTTGACAAGCAGCTTGTACTGTGACCCTCAGCTGTCGCCAGTCAACAGGTGTTTCATGCTTGTGCTTGCATTTGTGAGTGCGCGTGTGTGCGTGTGTGTGCGTGTGTGTGAGTGTGGCTGTTTGAGTTGGCGCCCGAGTTGTGTGAGCCTGCTGCCACACAAAATATTCTGCATTGCTCTGTCTCTACGTCAGTTTCAGAAACCATGTCTCTTTAAAGAGTCCAGCCAAAATACAGAAAGCAAAGAGGAGTGTGTGTGTGTGTGTGTGTGTGTGTGTGTGTGTGTGTGTGTGTGTGTGTGTGTGTGTGTGTGCGCGCACGCGCATATCTTTGTACCAAAACTGGGAAGAAAAGGTAAAAAGATAAAAGAAAACATTTACTTACGGACTGGACTCGGGCACGCTCCATTAGAGTTCCCCAAGTCTCCCCCTAACAGAGCACCTGGGATAATAGGAAAACACACCATGGTCACATAAATAACGCTAAATATTACCTCACATCAAACAGTTAATCTGAGTAGCACTAATCTAAAATGATGCATGAAAAATGAAATCATTAAATCAAGTATCATTAAAAAGTCCTACTGCAATCGATGCTCATTTCACTCACTGAAGGACCATAATTGGTTTCAATTCTGCATTTCCAGTTAATGTTTAAGTGTTAGTTTCATTACTTCTCAATGGCACTTATGTGATATTTTGAAGGGAAAAACTCTGAAAGACTAAATGCTCACCTAAAGCTAATTAAAAGTACAATATTATTTAAAAATGAAAGCTCTTCATTGGGAGGAAGACAGTCCATGTTTACAGTGTATGTAACTGCCAGTCAAACTCTCTTGTTACATATTTAAGATCATCAGAATAAACAAATGTTATATCCAAAGGTATTTCCTCATTCTCCTCATAGGATTACTATGAGGCTACTGGAGTGCTTAGAGACATTATTCTAATGTTAATTTACTATAAATGTGTGAATGTTGAAGCAATTCTACTGCAATCATAAGTAGATGAGTTCTCCTTCTCACGGTTATTGATCGGCACAAACCCACAGTGATATTAACAAAAATCCTGACTTTGGAAAATAAACATCAAACACATTTTACCCTTGCAGTGTAGGTTTGAAAGATTTATCTTCAGAGATTCACAAGCCGGTCTTTAAAATGCTCTGTGTCCGATAACACCAATGTGCGAACATCACAGCATCATATGCGCTGCCTCCTGCACGCGCTATCCAAGCAGCTCTCCCGCCTAAATCACACAGAGTATTTCCAGTAGCGCGAAGGTGTCTGAAGCCGACCATTTCCTGCTGTCTGTCACATGTGAGCAAGGACAACTGTGGAAAATACTTTGTTCTGATTCTCCTGAAATGTGCATGTGTGACAACTGATTTTTTTATTTTGTTTTGTTTTAGCTTAGCCCCACCAACAGCGCATCGCATCAGAGTGAATATCATTAAAGAAGCTGTGTTGCTGCTAAATGTTTAAAAAAGCAGGTTTGTAATAACACATAAACTTGTGAGAGAGTTTTTCAGTATTTTTCCCAAATAACCAAAAGCATAAAACGCATAAAATAGTAATTTTACTGTTGTCATAAAATTAAATCTCATGTGCTTTGTCTCTAAGCACAGGAAACCGAGACATTTTTATACACTGCAACAGCTACATACATTTATCTTCATTCTAGCAAACATTATGCTTGCTTTTTCCTCACATCGCAGGCAGCATTTTTTCTGCACTGACACTTATTTTCCCTCGGTTGGTGCAATTTCAGTTCTTTGGCTCCAATGCGCTTTAGAAATTCGGGGTCATTAGGGGTGACTGAAAAAAATCTGGCTGGACAGACACATGGAAAAACACCAATAAGCAAAGACAATGAACCCAATGCAACTCTGATAATGTGGGATGCATAAAAGGGTACAGCGATGTATTTGCACTGCTGAGGTTATGAGGAGTAAGGGGAGGGGAGGAAAGGGGCGTCCATTACTGCTACGTGAAACCCACTTGCCTCAGAGAACGGCATGTTATGAAAGATGCTGTAATGCATTTGTTGCGAGTTACATCACCTAATTCTGACTTGCAATGAGATTACGCTGGTCAGAACAAAGCTTGATAAGTAACCTTGTCTGAGTCGCAAAAATGGGGCACGAATCCTTTTAGTCAGAGGTTGAAGGATTGGTTTGCCACACAGAGGCAGCGGGCGCACGGTGTACCAGCCAACCAGTCATAGAAATGATGGATGTCTGTCATTATAGGTAGTGTGCACTTATTTCAACAAGCAGAGGAGTTATTTAGACTGATGGAGCATGCAGGCTGCACAACACATCACTGGTCATTTTGCTGCTTGTCGACTCAGAAGATTCTCTATTAAAACGCTGCTGTTACATAAACCGTGCTTCTGCATAGACCGAGGGCACTTTATGAAATGGTCTTTAAGTAACTACATCACTATGACAACCATGAGTTTAAAAGTGGTTCAAATCATTTCAGTTACAAGAGACATTTAG